TGTGTGTGTGTGTGTGTGTGTGTGTGTGTGTGTGTGTGTGTTTGAGAAGGTGATTAATTAGACTGAGACTCGCAAAAGATTTTCAACTTCATTATAATTTTTACAAAAAGCTATGTCATTACAAAGTATACCTATACATGAAGCAGGAGTTTTACTTTAAACACGTTACAAACCCTCAGTTGAGCTATTTGTTCATAACAGCTCGGGCAGGGCGGTTTACTTTCAGTCCGAAACAGTTACTACCAAATAAGTAATACTCGACCTTAGAGGATGGAAATTTAAGTTTCCATAGTCTAAGTACACGACCGAATCATTTTTGATATCGGTCTCATGCGTCTGTTAATTTTAACCAGTGTTACTTTTTTGACAGTAATTGGTTCGGGCAGAGATGTTGAACGAAAGACGAGAATGGATCCCCAGAGTCTAAAGCGATGAAGGTCATTATCGTGATGTGAACTGCAAGTTGAAGAAGGTTCACAATCATTGGATGAAACGTTAGTATAGACACGCGCCGAATTGTGGGAATCAAGGGATGACAATGATGATGTTGATATTTCAAGTGCTAAATGAATTTCATCATCAATAAGGCAAAAAAGCTGGCCAGATGAAAAAACACACTTCAACGAAAAATACAATTAATCCAATCGGTTGGAAGAGAACGTAGAGAAAGACAAACCAACAGACAAAAATTTATTATCCACACTTTTTTAAGACAGTCACTCAAAAACATCTTGTTCTGTTTACATTATTTTAAATATCTGACGGGCTGTCAATTTTTTTCTGACGTGACAGCATCAACTGCCATCACAACACAAATTCGAAGACATCAAACGAAATACAATATTCCGTGTCTGCCCAATCCCAGCTCCAAAACACATTGAACAAAATGGACCAGTATTCAAAATAATACACCATGCACTTGCAATAAACAATTTCTACATAGCCATGTGAGTATCTAGGTGAACTAGACATTAAATTTGTTTTCGACCTCGTTGTCAACGACCTCGGTGACCCAGCGGTTGGAACACAGGTGCTTTATAAAAATATTCAGAATTAAATTTTCGGTTGATTTTGGTCTGGGTGTTTTGGAGTGAGCGTAACATAGTGTTTCATGCGTTATGTCGTTGTCTTATTACAGGGGAGTCACAAATCATAAAATTTCGCTAAACAATTAGTTTTTAGTGTAAAATGGTTTAAACGTAAAACAACATGTCTAAATTTACCTGTTGGTGATGAGCAGTGATCAGAATGTAGGGAATTAATTTAGATTAACTAAAGAATAAGGTAGACGTTCCCTTCTACAATAGACATTTCCTCTTAAGTGTATCGCACTGTTAATACAATAGTGTATTAATTCAAAAAGTGGACTTTCTCAGAATCGATAAAAAACGAATTACTCAATTCCCCAAAAAATCATTAAAATTTATGTATGTATTTATTATAGACACTTAAACAATGTCGCAAATATATTTAAACATAAAATGGAAAAAAGAATTTAATATTTTTGTTTTAAGATTGTTGGCCAGAACTAGCTCACATAAAGTGTGTCTATTTTGAGTTAAGTAGAGATCTTTTGATTGTTTCTTACAATATTTTAACGACGGTTTTTTGACGTGTAGAGAAACAAATTTTAGATTCAATAATGATATAATATTAAATTTCACATATTTTGAGTTACAACACTATTGTAATAGCAGTGCGATATGTTACAAATTATTGCCTCAAAAAATGATATTGTAGTTGTGTTTCCATAGGTAGTTACGTATTTAAATACTTTAGCCATTTAAAAAATAAACATGAGACTACCTATATTTTGGAATGTTTAGAAAATAAACAGTAAAAAAAGATATTATATTTGATGACGAAATGGGTATGTCCATACCAAGAAAACGTTCATACTTTAGGTAAATTAAGTCCCTCAATTCCGGTAACTGCTGATAAGCCACTTTCGATCTTGAAACACTGAGGTTCAGTTTGCGTTGCTGCGGAAATTGTACATAACACAATGAACTTTATATCATTTGTGTAACGTACAAAGTAGATACGAAACGGTTAAGCTGCGAGAATTCCCGAAACTACGCGAGAATTTTCCGGAAGACGCGCGATTTGTCTTTCGTCTAGCTTCCATTCCGTTACTCAGTAGGTACTCAATTTTATTGTTTGTTGCATTTACGTGGTAGGTAAGTTTTGACGTTTTGACGTTATGACTTTTAACACCAATGTTCCTGTACCGCTACCATGAGTTTTCAATGACAGTTGTCGCAAGCGACCGCGTAAAATATGTGTATACAAAATATTACTTCTTCTTGTGATCGTTAGGGGCGCTATATTTTTTACAATTTGCCGTACAAAATTGTGAAGTAATTTACGCGGTCACTAGCGACAACTGTCCTGTGACTACTGTTAGTCGCGTGGTAAATCCACTGATGTTAGTTGTGAAAATTGGCCAACATGGCGATCGTCCAGTCTTTTTAATTTTAAACTTTTGCTTATGATGTAACAGCGAACAGATCCGATCGAAGCTACGATTTGTGAAGATGGCCTCCAGACCGCGGCGCGCGGGCATCGACTGGACTATGGTGCTTGGTGGACTGGTTGTCGGCGGGATTCTAGCTATCGGTGCTTGCAAATACTCCACCAACACGTGCCGAAAGAAAGTTGAGAAATGCAACAAAAAGGAACCCGAGGTAACCTATATTTAGTTATTAATGTACTATGCGGTATTTTTCCCGTGCTTCTACCATGAGAATACAGTGAGAGTTATCGCTAGCGACCGCGTATAATGTTTGTATACAAAATGTTTTCTTTTTGTGACCGATAGGGGCGCTGTATAATTTGCCATACAAAATTGTGAAGTAATTTAAGCGGTCGCTAGCGACAACTGTCACAGAATACTCGTGGTAGAGGCACGTGGTGTTCAAATTTTAAGAGGTGATTGTGGGTATCCGTGAAGACAAACAACTTTAGCATAGAATAATTTTAATTTCATAAAAATAATTCGCGCTCTTAGTGTAATGAGGCACATCTGCCAAATGACATCTTTTCAGGAGAGCGGTTTAGAGACTCTATGAACGAAATCAGTCGATTACTTTTTTATGCTTAAAAAGGAGAGTACCTAATGAAAATTCACATATAATTATACTTGCGGCCCACTAAAAGTTTTGTACTTTTGGCTTTACACAACTATTTGAATTTCGAATAGTATATTTTTTGAACCATAGGACCTTATTAGTTATTTACACAGACATATAATCCAAAGAGACGCCGCAAGTGTACCTATTTCGCGTGCCCAATGTAAGCTATAAACGCTTAGTTGCTGTTACTACGCCTCAGAATGCGACCGGCCGTTATCGCAGTTAAACATCAGTCGTAAACACCACAACTGTAGGAAGATAAATAAACAGGGACGTTTCCTTCCACAGAATATAGATAAATTATTTTAAAATCATACAGATCGCGCTTCTTGCGGTGTCTATTTAGATGATATATTTGTGGTTATTTATAAAAAAAATTGTCGGAAAGTAATTAGTCGAGATATTTGTCGGGTGTAGTAAAAATGGATTAACGGAAAAACATTTTAGAGTAATGATTTTCTCTGATTTGAAGAGTGCTCTTTCTCCTCAAGATTGTGCTGCTCGACTTCAAAATTCTTTTGGGAGGTAAGCACCTCATTTATGTACTGTGAGGCCATGGTGTGATTCGTTGAAGACTGTACCACCTCAGTCAACCGTGACCATGGGACCTGTAAAGGGCCCGAAACGTCGGTTTGTTTGAAAAAACAAATATACGCGATTTGAATCCGGAAAAATAATTTCATTTCCTATACTTTACATATACCAATGATTTTTTTTTATATCAACTGAACTAAACACGTATAACTTAGAATAATAACGCATAGAATGATAGTTTCATATCAAACGAACTGTCACAAGTGAGGCAAAAATCAAATTCATGTAGGCTAGTTTTAGTAGTAGGTTAATTTTCGGTTTTAGTGAATATTTATATAAAAATACAAGTTGAAACGCGTTACTTACTTAATCTATTTTATGTTTGTCTGACGTATTTTAACACTCATTTACCGCACATTTCGTCATTTTTAGCTAAAATTCTGGACCTGTTCGCGGTGCAAGTTGACCTTGAGCACTGAAGGCCCGCCCGCTCGTGTAGACCCTTTTGGCGCGCTTGAATTTGCCTCACTTAGCGTGTGCGGACTAGGTTTCTATGCGTTATTATTCTAAGACGTATAATAAACGATATACATTTTTGAAATGGCTTTAATTTCGTTTGTAAAAAAAATCATTCTGAAATAACGGCAGTATTCCAGCCGCTCGTTCCAAGCTAAATGAACCGTGTTAGTACGGGAAAAATTTGTATAATTTGACGGTGGCCTGTTTCTAACAATCAAACAACGAAGTGAATTTAAAATATGTGAATACGAAAAGCATTTCACGTCATAGATAAATAAGTTAACAACAATATTACAGCTGAGCTGAGGTAGAATCGGCTCTTAATAGTAAATACCTAATATTTGATCTGGCAAAACAGTTTTTTCTGCTTCTCCTCTGGTGACCCGCCATAAGATCCAATGCATAATCACCTCTTAAAGTTTTTTATCGATTCCAAAGAAACACACAGTACGTAATAATCAATTGTCGGAAAAACATGTTCCACATACATACATACATACATAAATAATAATGATAATAACCAAATATTAATGAATTACTTCCTTCGAATTCCGGATGTCCGGATGAAAGAAACTCCTTTCTTTATTCTATTTATGCTACAAAAATGGCACGAAAAATGAACGGCTATTTTACTTCATAAATAGAACATAGAAAAGAGTTTCTTCCATCAGGAAATATCTATATCTACATGTACATACGTGGAACACCTTTTTCCGACCATTGGTAATAATAATGAAATATATGTAATTCAATATTGCGGGTGTTCTGTAAGTGCTTGTTCGATAAATAAGTACTTAATTAACATATTTATCTAAGTATTCTTTATTTCAAACTTTATTCACTATTTACCGGACATCCTGTTTCCCTTCAGGCATTACTGTGGTTGAGTTCTAGGTTTAGTTTAGACTTATGCTAAAAGATACTGACCACCATAACGTTATTTTAACGTTTATGTTTATGTAAAATGAATGAACAAGAATAAATAGGTAGATATCTAATTATTCATTGCCAGAAACCAAAGTTCGATAATTAACACAATAATTATTTTGACAACTAAATCTTGATAATGTCGTTCCAATTAATTTTATATTCATTGGAACAACAAAGTGATACCGCTAGCAATGTCGTGCGTGTACGAGACGTATCCAAAGTCAAATGTCAATCTCAAAGAATAATCACAAACCAAAACGTTTTCCTAAATGTTTCTTCGTGTTTATTTATTTTTCTCAGGTTGTCACTTTTTAAACAAAAATTGACAAAATTATGAATCAGCACGGATAATTATTGGATAATTATCAGGCACTTATCACGATAAATTATCAAAAAACAAATATTTTGATAATATCGAACCTTGCCAAAGACTATGGCAATATCTCGTTTTGTTTTCAGTGCCCGAGATGCCCATCGACGGACAACGCGTGTAAATGCTGCAGCTGTGATAAGCCTGGCTTATTCGGATAAATCTGGTTTTTTTCAGTGCCCAGAAGGTGACCCACCCTGTTGTTGCTGCAAATGCAATAGGCCTGGCCTATTCGGATAGCTTACGAGAAATCAATGAGTGGTTTACCGCTTTGCCTAGAGGCCAATTATATGTCAAAAAATTATGCATGCTCTATCTATGGGCGGTAAAATTGACATTAAATACGTTTGTCAAAAATGTAACGACATTTACGTGAAGTCGGGAACGTATTTGCAAATAAAATTGAAAAAAATGGGTTGAGATGTCTAACATAACGGAAAATACATGTTTCAGAGGTTTCATTTCATGTACGGAACGATTGATATGTATGTATTTTAACTCCATAATTTCACATTGTCCTAATGGTACCTTTAGGAATTGAAGATGTTCACACATACATGGTTTCATGTGTCTAAAATTCGTGTTAATGTTTTCCCTCGGTGTGTTGCCTGTAATCATCTAATCTAATTTTTATTAATTCTAAGTGTGAAGATTGGAAGCTCATTAATTATTCCTGACATTTCTGCAGAGTCTCTGATAATGGGTTCTAAGCCGACATTAATCCACTTGGCGGTGATATCTATGACCGTTGTAGCTCTGACCTACGGCTTATTAAGAATGCTGCGATCCGAGTCGCCTCCGCCTAAGATTTACAGAAGCTTCGGCCTGGGCTTCGGCCCTAGCACATACAAGTGTATTTGCACAGAAGATGGACCGGTAATCATATAACTATTTTATCATTCATAAAAAAGTAGATGCTTTAAGTGAATTGTATGTGATCATGCCCCACGTCGCACAAGCGTCTTAAATTGTTCGAATGTCTTTGTTTCTTCACGATTAAGTAGGGTTTCTATATTAACTACATTAAGTGCCATTTAGAGTGAAGTATCACTACAGCAATGCTGTGAAATAATATCGAAATAAAACATTATTTAATTTAGAAAGGTATATACACCTGTTATCTTTTTTATAAGATCACATCCGTATTTGAACATTACGTATGTCTTTACTTTTACTCTATCTACTGCGTTCATTTGTTTTTAACCGACTTAAAAAAAGGAGGAGGTTCAATTCGACTGTTTTTTTTTGGTTGTGTGTATGTATTTTGGTTTGGTTGTACGCGATAACTCCGCCATTTGTGAACCGATGATTCTTTTTGTTGGAAAGAGGGTACCTCAATAGTGGTCCCATTTAAATTTGAAGAAAATATTCGACCCCTAAGGATGATAAACGAGGAGATGAATCACTTTTGAGATCGGTTGTTTAGTACTCTGTACTTAGGTTAGGTTATTTCTTCTTCAACTTCGCCCAGTCTTACGTAACGATAATTCTATTATTCAGTGATAAGGTAGGTTGTTATTGCATGTACAAATTAAATGTTACAATATGAATTGAATATGAAAATTGTCTTGTTGTAACGTAGATTAAATGTCAGAGAAAAGGTTGACTTCTACGTAAATATTTAGTATGTTTGGTTTTGAAAGTAAATAAACAAGATTACTTTTGTTTCAGTGCCAAACAATAGGTGATGGTTGAAGAAACGCTTTGCGGGTTGGGCTCATAATTTTCATCTCAGTCTCTACTTCTACTACGTTGTGAAATATTGACGCAATATACGCCTGAGTCACAGATGTTGTTTTGTTTTATTGTGTTTTCTAGAAATTACAATTCCGCGTTTAATCTTTGATGTAGATAAAACTTAAGCCCTTCGTATTTATGTCAGCTAACAAAATTTAAAAGGAACCAGCGTCTACATATCAATATACGATAGCAAATCCGATACAGAACAACTGATAATGGAGCGAAGTCACGCATTTTTGATAGTATACATGTTAACTATGTGCCTTTTTTTAACGATCTCTTAAGAGACGCTATGTGGAAAAAAGCTTTTCTCAAGTGATCGCCCGAAAAAGGTATATGGTACAAAACTATACACGCTAAACCGCCAAATATTCCTTGGTTTATGTAGAAGAGTCTGAACCGATCACGATCATGAGACTGCGCACCGGACACATTCCACTAAATGCATTTGATCACCTGATGAAGCTAATAGAGTCCCCGAAGTGTATTTGTAATACCAGAGAAGATACCTAACACGCTTTAGTGGAATATACCCGGATCAGAAAGGAACGATGCACTAGAGGCTGGAATTAGACTAACAGATACGTAACCCATATTATCAAAGCCCAATAATATCCTGGGCCAATGGAATGTACAAGTTAATACTTTAGAAGTAGACCTAAGTAAAATTAAGGATAGTGTGTTACGTTGGGGAAAAACACGATAGTAATCGGAATTGTTGATTTAAAAAAAGGGGGTGTTATCGTAAAATTGCATTCAAAAAAAACGTTTCTAAGCGCAATTTTACTGTGAAAGAAACCCCCTTTTTTAAAGTATAACGAGACTAATTAAAAACAAATCTTGCTGTGTTATACTTGTTTGTGAAACGAGGTCGCATCTACCGAAATTTGGTCGCATAATTTCGGCGCCCTATTTCCAATCCTAATTTCTTCTATTCAGAAACGTAGTCATGGTTCTTTATGAGACAAAAACATCGATTACCTGTGCAAGGGTAACCAGAGTAATGATATTAACTCTGAGGTAAAGTTCGTTCCTAAATTGATTCTACCGGGAATCAAACTCGAGATCTTTTCATCAAGGACCCAGAAATGCGACCCTCCGATTAGAAGAACATCTATGGAGATCTTCACTGGACAGAGAAGGCGACGCAGAGCATTCACGCGATGAGTCTTTGCCTATATATATAATCAGTTACCTAGCGATATAGCTGGACGGCACACCAAGCACTTAGGCTGGGGTTCCACCTCTATCTTGTGGATATTCTAGAGGTTCTAATGAAGCGTTACGTTAAGTGTTATACGTTGAGCGTGGCTATGGAGTGGAATTCCCTGCCTGCAGACTTAGTCCCTGAACTTGGCCTTTTTAACATCACAAAAAACTGCTTTTTGTGCTTAACACGCTTATGTAGCTTCTAGTTTGCGATATGGATTATTACTCTGGGGAAATGCTGCTGCAACACATGTTATGCCACTATTTAAATCCCAGAAGAAATGTGTCAGGGTCATATGTGGTATGGGTCAGCGAGAGAGTTGTGTACCTTGCTTTAGGAAACCTGAAGATATTAACCCTACCATCGATGTATATTTACGAGGCCTGTGTTTATGTGAAACAAAATCTAAGCAACTTTAATATAGTCAAAACTAGATATCCTAGAAACACAAGGAATAAAATAGAAATACGGCCCAAACAACGCTCTAATTTGGAATTTTACTGTAGAAAGATGTTCGTATTAGCACCAAAATTATTTAATAAATTGCCGGATGCTGTTAAGTATTAAATTGTCGACAATTTAAAAGAATTGTTGCCAACATTTGGATGGAACACTATGAAAACGCCGCCATTCTGTCAGCACCATCAACAATAAAATTATAGAAGAGGTATGTTGATGACGTATTTTCCGTAATGGAAGGAAAGGAGCAACATATACAAAATTATTTAGCACGTCTTAACAACACCCATAACAAAATGAAGTTCACTTGTGAAATTGAAAAAAATCGCGCGCTTGCATTTTTGGATGTATTGGTCAAAGTCCGACAAGACGGTTCACTCGGTCATTCTGTGTACAGATAACCAACTCACACGGACAAATATTTGCATGCCACTTCACATCATCACCCAAAACACCTACATTCGGTCGTCAGGTCATTAACCAATAGAGCTTATGATCTTTGTGATTCATACCACCTACCACAGGAACAGGAGCACGTTAAGACGGTGTTGCGACAGAATGGATACAAAATAAAAACATTTAAACCATTGAAGCCATCGAGATCACTCAGTATAAAACATTTAACCGTGATGATGGTTTTAAACTGTCCAGTGCAAGGAATCCGGTCCTTAGTGCGTGCAGTAATAAAAATAAAAACACCTCGAGTTCAGTTTCGCGTGTGGATACAGTGAGTGTGATTTGTGTGAAAAAGTGAGTGACAATAGTAACGCCACAACAAATCGCGATGAAGGTAGTCGTCGACAGCGCACGAGGGTAGACAGATATGTCTGCTCTTAAAGCTGTCATCTGCCGCCGTCCAGTCAACCCGTGACCATGGAGCGTGCAACCGTTCCGAAATATCGGGAAAATAAAAAGAAGTCATACCGTGGTAAGAAACCTGTCTTAAAATCTATATAATTTAAAATGAAATTGCATAATTTGTTAGTTACTCAATGCTATTACAATATTAATGATTTCTTACTTGATACCATAAAATGTAAAATTTAAATATTGTATGTTATATTTTTGACTTCTTATTTTCTGGTTAAATTCCAATTGTTGTAGTTTGTTTATGCTATTGTTTTAATTTAATTTTAATGCATGCTACGTCTCAAGTGAAATAAGCATTGTGTAAAATATTCGCATGCCAAGTTTTGGTGAAATGTACGATCTAATATAATATAAGACCAGCATTGTTAACTACACTTTTCAGCGAATAAATATCTTGTATTCAAGGCGAGAGTGAATATACATTATTTAGGTGTACATGCACCATCGTCGACCTCGTCACCACTTTCTATCAGGTGAGATGGAGGTGAAATCATCACTTATTCTTTTATAAAAATAAAACGTTTTCCTTTTATTGTATAAGTACTAAAAATGTAGCTAATCCAGTGCTCTTTTTTTAATTGAAACGAATTTTATAATTTGAAATCTTAGAATAATAACGCATAGAATGATAGTTTCATTTCAAACGAACTGTCACAAGTGAGGCAAAAATCAAATTCATGTAGGCTAGTTTTAGTAGTAGGTTAATTTTCGGTTTTAGTGAATATTTATATAAAAATACAAGTTGAAACGCGTTACTTCCTTGTGGAATGTGATGTTAGTATCTATTTTATGTTTGTCTGACGTATTTTTACACTCATTTACCGCATATTTCGTCATTTTTAGCTTAAATTCTTGATCTGTTCGCAGTGCAAATTGACCTTGAGCACTGACGGCCCGCCCGCTCGTGTAGGCCCATTGGGCGCGCTTCAATTTGCCTCACTTAACGTGTGCGGACTAGGTTTCTATGCGTTATTATTCTAAGTTTGAAATGTTATTTTTACTTTACTGTTTTATTTGTCATTAACAGATTTCAAAAAAAGGAGGAGATTCTCAATTCGACGGTTTGTATGTATGTTACGTAATTACTCGGGCATTTGCGAACCGATTTTGATGATTCTTTTTTTGTTGGAAAGAGGGTACTTCGATATCGGTCCCATCTAAAATGAAGACAATATTCCGGTAACCGATTAGGGATGCACATTACGATTCAATTTTTATGAAAATTGATTTCATGATAACCGATTGTCCCTACTTCTGTGCCATCTGAACGTCATTTCTCATTGGCGATCAAAAAAATCGTGCATCCCCATAACCGATTGTTAACTTTTTAGTTTCATTGCATGCTAGCTACGTAATCACATTATTTTCATACCTATGCTACACGGGGCAACTGTACGTTGTTGCGATGCAACGCTGTGATTTCAACGCACCGAGTGCCATACGAGCAATGCGGTTTCGCAACTAGAGATGGGAAAAACTGCTTATTTTTTAAACGTTTAAGCGTTGTGTTTTTAAAAAATGTGTGCTTTTCTAACGCTTTTCTAACTTTTATGTTAAAAAAAAGCTAGTAACGTTGTGTTGATAGCGAAAAACAAGAGTATACCACTAAAGGTTATAAGACAAGTAAGTTTATTTGTAACACACGAATATTCTTTTTATTTATAAAATTATTGTTCACATTGACGAATTACTTTGTTTAGGAAACATAGATGGCGGGACTTGAAACATAAGCCCGTTGTTAACGCTTACGCTTAAATTGAAAAGCGTGCTTTTGTGCTTATTTCAAAAAGCAAACTTTTTTAAGTGCTTTTTGTTTAAACGCCAGCCTCTAGTCGCAACGTAACGCCGCTTAGTCGCATCGCAGCACCCTCTCCGCTTCGTCTCCTGGCCCCTTGTCTGATGCGTCCGGGTTCCGTCGCCACGCACCGTTTGATCATGTGCCATGTAGGTACACGATAGACAGTTAAACACGGCAATCATTTAATACGGCATCGCGCTAAATGGAATAGTTTTAAACAGTGGGAGCTGTTTGTGAAAATAAAGAAGTAAAAAAAAATTGTATAATTATTGAGATGGAAATCGAACAAACACAAAGAAAAATTCCTTTCCTACGTTGACAGCAACATACACTGATTCGCATGCAGTCTGATTGAACGATCGCTTCCAGTGGAATATTTTATCCATAGAGATTTACATCATGAAATCGATAAATAAATCGAAACAACTACTTTGTATCTCGCGTCAATATGTATATGAGTACATACACGTTTTGGTTTTGAGCTTTGCGTGATGTTTTTGGAGTAATACTGTCTTCACTGTACAGAATATTTTTGGAATATACTATGAGGTACACTTTATATGGTTTGTGAGGTACACACTTGTCAGTTGTTGGCGCTGTACTATTTCAGCTTTCTAATTTGTGATTTCAGTGCAAACGAGAGTTGATGTTTACAATTTGCCTGATGAGTTGCTTGTGAATGAATTGAGTAGTTTGAGTGTAAAGGTTAAATTA